GAATTGGCTTAAGCTTCTTAGTGCTGTGCTTTAACCCGCTGCGCCACCAGGGAGGGCCTACTATTGCACATTTTGACATTCAATGAAACTAGAAAAAGTACACTGCTGAGGGGAGCAGCGGGCGGGTCAGGAGAGGTCTGCCACGCCATGTGGTCACCTCCGGGGCAGGCGGGGATCGAACTCAGGCGGAATTGGCTTTAGATTCTCAGTGCTGTGCTTTAACCCACTGCACCACCAGGGAGAGCCCTCAGGGAGGGCCCTCGCTCAGTCTTTTTATTAAACTTGACCAAGACCTGAACAGATGAGGTACCTTGGACTAGGCCCCCTGTGGGGTTTGCTGCTATCTTGGGGCCAAGATAACCTGTTTCACACGCACAAAATATGAAAGGTGTGTCTCCATGTTAGTGAGTCAGGGGTGATTTGTTCTTGTTCCATTTGGAATTCTGAATTTGGAGGCTAGAATCCAATTAACTGCCTTTGGTAGTCTGGTGTGATTTATTTTGAATGTCATTTGCAAAGTTGAGATGCTTCCTAGAAAGGCAGAGGGCATCCTTTTGAGTAGGTTTAGAGAAGTACTCTGTATTCAGCTTGCTGTTGGTAAAATGTCTGCTTTACAGATGATTTTAAAAAGAAAGGTAGCCGGGCCCTCCCTGGTGGCACAGCGGGTTAAAGCACAGCACTAAGAAGCTAAAGCCACTTCCGAATGAGTTCGATTCCCGCCTGCCCCGGAGGAGATCCACATGGCGGGGCAGACCTCTCCTGGCCCGCCCGCTGCTCCCCTCAGCAGTGTACTGTGTCTATCTGCCTGTTCTGCTCCTCACTCTGTCTCTGGTGAATCCTCTCACCCTCCGCATCTCTGGCCTGTACCCCAGTTCTGTATAAATAAATAAATCTTTTAAAAAAATGAAAAAAAAAAAAAGAAAGAAAGGTAGCCTACAATAGCTTGATTGTTTCTAAACTGATCTAAGAGAATTATCTAATTAGCCCATCAATTGCCTATGTTATCTTTCTAAATGTTTAGAAACAATTCTTTAAAAATTGAAATATTTACCAAAGCTTATTTATTGTATCCTTGCCTCAGTCATAAAGGTGACATGACCTTTGCACAGGGGAGTTTAAAAACTGCTTTTGGGAAACCATGATGGTTCACACAGTGGCCACAGTGTTATGGACATGCTTGAAGAGAAGGCATGGACCACTGTTTTCCTTTTTTGACTATTTTCATTTATGACTAACATACAGACATAATAATAGCCTTTTGTATTTTCTGTTGAGAAAACAGAATAATGCCAAAGACATGCTCAAAGGAAGTTTAGCTACAACCTAAGTCCCAGGTATGCTATTATAATCTTCAAAGAAATTCTCTTTGGTGCCAATCACATGATAGAGTAATGCAAAAGAAAATTTTTCTTCAAGGCATCATTAAGGCCTAAAAATTGCAACACCTTAAAGTTGAGTTTCATGACTAAACACTTATTATTTTCTATCTTAAGCTACTTATGTTTCATGTTTATTTAAGTTATGCTTCTTCATAGGAAACACATTGCTTTATTGGTGGTGTGCAGAGTCTTCTCAGAACATGAGGATATAAAGTAAACAGTCTTTTCCTTCGACTTTGGATGGTGATGACGATTCTGTCTTTCAGGCATCGGAATGGACACGTGTGTCATTCCTCTGAGACATGGCGGTCTTTCCTTGGTTCAGACCACAGATTACATTTACCCTATTGTCGATGATCCTTACATGATGGTGAGTTTGACCTGGTGTGTTCTGGGTTTTGAGTAAGTGTGTGAACTCTCTTTGTTTTTGTTTTGCTCGAACTGTGGTCTGCCTGCCCCTGTCCTGCCTCCCAGCATCAGTTGGTTGACCCCACCCCTCCTCATGCTTGGGACTTTACACAAAGCATCAGGGCATCTGTGGGCTGGTTCCCGGCTGCTTCGCTGCCCTGCGTATAGTCTGCAGGAATACATGTTGTCTACTTGACTGACGTTTCTATAGTTTTCTTCCTTCCTTTGACATTTGTAAATCCTGCACTCCTGTGCTCCAGTCTAGAGATATAGCCATACTCTGCCATGGGGCTAATCCTAGGTGTTTCCCTGCAGAAGAAAAGAGCTTAGCATCTTATTACATTTGAGACTTCTTTACCACTTTTCCTGATTTTTTTTAAAGGTTTAGTTATGCACACAGAACTGGGGTACAAGCCAGAGGGCCAGGGGCAGTGAGACCATTCACCAGAGACAGAATGGGGAACAGAACAGGAACAGGTAGATCCACTGAAATACACTGCTGTGGGGAGCAGCGGGTAAGACAGGAGAGGTCTGACATGTTGTGGGCCAGCTCCCTGGCCAGGATTGAACTTGGCTGAAGTGGCTGTGGCTGGCCTTAACCTATTGTGCCACCACAATGGGACAGCCCTTTTTCATCTTAATTTTTTAAACATCTTTTATAAAGAGATGTTCCTGTTTATCTCTTACAGCCTTTAAAGAAGCTACAAACATTCCCCCACCCAAGTATATAAACACCATCTTCTCCATACCAGTAAGGTCAACATTTTTTTTAGGGTCTGTTTGGGATAAGTGACTGTTACCAGGTTTTAAGACAGTTGTTTTCAAAGTTGTTCATTCCATAACTCTGCCTCCCACACCATCAACTCCAACCTCCTTTCCCTTTTATCCCCATCTAAATAAATTATAGGTTTTTCCTAATCTGAATGGGAAAAAAAGCCATAAGCATTGGTTTTGTTGTTTTTTTGTTGCTGTTGTTTTGCACAAAAGTGAGAGGTGGTAACAGGATTGTCAGAGAGTGGTGATTCTGGAAAGGTAACCAGTCTGCAGGCCAGAGACTTGAGACCACATCCCAGCAGCTGAGTCACACCCCGTATACTCTGTTTTTACATGTGGAAAGTCCCTGTTGTCTTTCCTCACATCTCCCCTCTCTTCCAGGGCAGGATAGCATGTGCCAATGTCCTCAGTGACCTCTACGCAATGGGTGTCACAGAATGTGACAACATGCTGATGCTCCTTGGAATCAGTAATAAAATGACTGACAGGGTAAGTGATGTCTAGCTGCTTACTGGGGCCTGCCTGGGTAGCCCTTCATCTGCCCATCTGTAAAGGGGAACCCAGGCTGCATGGTTTGTAGTGTCCATCTATGTCTCTCCTTTTTTGGTACTTGTCAGTGAATTCAAATAGAGCTCTGGCCTGTTCATCTTGCCATTTCCACCACCGTTTTCCTTTCTCTTTACTGGGTGGACTAAAGCCAACACGTTTGTTTTGATAAAATTGAGGCCGTAGTGACTTAAAGCACCTCCACGCTAGGCCTAAGGGCCTGGCAAAGCCTCGTGGATCCAGGGTACATGGCACAGAAAGGTGGGTACGCCTCGTCTTTGATGGCAGGAAGGCATCCACCACACAGGCCATGCGCTCACCCAGCTTGTGTCTGTGGACTTACTATTCCTTTATTTGACCCAGAAATGAATTTCTAACAAGATGTTTCTGAAAGGTACTTGTTTCTGTTCTCCCAAGAGAAGTTTGTCCTGCTTCACAGCTTTTTTTTTTTTTTATTCTTACAACATGCATTTTGCCTGTTGGTGGCACACACCTGCTCCGGGAGGGTTCATGCCATCTCTTTGGCCAGTCTGCTCCTTGCAGACCAGGAGCTGACTTACAGGTAGGCGGAGTACTAAGCTAGTCTGAGCATGATAAGGACGTCAGTGAGCTGGTGTGGGCTTAGGAAGCTCTGCAGAGCCAGTCACGTGCCAGGCTTGACTTCTGTGTTTTCTGGACTTCATTCACATTGTAATCTAGAACATCTTCCAGCTTTTGATGAAATGACTACAGTGTGAAATATCCCCTGGCATTTGTTATTCCATCCTTGTCTGTAAATGTTCAGGACTTAGGGTTTGTCCTTATTACAACTAACTACAAGCATAGATCATTTTTTGGGTTTTGAACTGAAGTACATGACTTTTATGTCCTTTTATATTCTAGGAAAGGGATAAAGTGATGCCCCTAATTATACAGGGTTTTAAAGATGCAGCAGAAGAGGCAGGAACGTCTGTAACTGGCGGCCAAACAGTATTGAACCCATGGATCGTTTTGGGAGGAGTGGCTACCACTGTTTGCCAGCCGAATGAATTTATTATGTAAGTTGTTTTCATGTCACTTGTCCTGGTTCTCTCTCCTTTACTTTTTTAGATAGGGTTATTGAGGTAAATACCATAAATTTATGCATTTAAAGCATAAATGTTATTCATTGTGCAGCCATCATCAGAGTTGATTTAGAATATTTTTGTCATCCCCAAAAAAAGTCCTGTTCTCTTTATCTGTTACTCCTCACTCCCCCGCCCCTAGCCTGGCTTCTTTTACATCATCACATGATATTAGCTTAATAATTTTAAGTTTCATTATTTTTGTCACATGGCATTTATTTCCATACTTAATTCCTGGTTTTGTTTTGTTTTTTAAGTTTCACATTTTTTAAATTGGAGTATAATTCATATAACAATTTTTCACATAACATGTAATTCAGTGTTTTAAGTATGCGTTTTTTTTTAATTATTTTTTAAAGATTTATTTGTTTCTGCATACAGAACTGGGGTACAGGGCAGAGGTGCAGGGGCGGTGAGAGGATTCACCAGAGACAGAGTGGGGAGCAGAATAGGCTGACTGATGAGGTACACTGCTGAGGGGAGCAGTGGGCAGATCAAGAGAGGTCTGCCGCGCCATGTGGGTCACCACCTGGGGCTGGGGATCGAATTCATGCTAAAGTGGGTGCTGTGCTTTAACCCACTGCGCCATCAGGGAGGGCCCTAAAGTATGTGTTTTAAATTTCATCTATTTTGTAATGCTTCATCTTTATTATGGTTATGGAATTTGTAATGTAGCGACATGCCACAGTTTATTCACAGTGATGGCCCTTTGGGTTATTACCACCTTATATGACTGCAGCTGCCTATAAACATTGATGTATAAGGTTTTGCTTGGACATATATTCTGATTATTTGGATATACACCTAAGAACTGGATCCTGTGTGAATTCTCCTTAATTTAAGGTCGCATCAAATTGATTTCCAAAGTGCCTGCTCTGTTTTATGTTCCCAACAGCAATATCTTGAGAATATATCCTTTCCTCCTTTCCAGTATTTATCTTTTTCAAAATGACCATCCTGTTGAATACACAGTGATCGTGTACTGTGTTTGGATTTGCATTTCCTGGCAATTAATGATAGTGATTATCTTGCATGTGTTTCTTGGCCATTTCAGGGTCTTTAGAAACCCTCCTCTCTTAACACATGTCACTCTGCATGTTTGGTATTTTATTACAAAAAGCCACCTGGTGTATTTTCTGAAGAAAATAGAAACTCCCCCTTATTTTGTGAACAGATCCTGATAAGTTGTTCACATGGCTCAGAATTCAGAGTACATAAAGCGTGCTAGTGCCGAGTACCTTAACCACCCTGCAGTCACTCTGGCCAGTTTTGTGTATTTTTGAACAATCTGCCAATTATTTTGACTTACCAATAGTACCAGTGCCCCTTATGCGTAGATGATTTTGCAGGTGTGTGGCTTTATTGGTAAGAACGTTTTCAAGAATGAGTTGCTAGGTCAGGTGTACACACACTGCATTTGATGGTTGTCTCCAGGTTCCTGCCTAGAGGCACAGCTCCCCAGCTCCCCCCTCCTGTCATGCGTGGTGAGAGACTGCCTGGTCTTTGCCAGTTGATTTAGTGGTTTAATCTTACTCCTTTGAGTAAAGTTGAATGTATTTTTTTTTATATACTCATATCTTTTGTCCATTTTTCAATTGATGAGAACTCTTTTTAGAGCAGTTACCTGGTAACTTTCATACAGTTATTATCTGATAACTGTCCATGTAGTTAAGACAAAAGATTGCAAGGTTTTCATCTGTTTAGCCCATTCCAGCTTTACAGAAGAAAATGAACTTCGCAGTTGCAAAAATTAGAGGAAAAAAATAATTGCTTTTGAATTTCTTGTCAACAAACTTGTATGTTTACTTTGTAAACCATGAATGAGCCTATCTGTGTGATTTTTATCTTTCATAAGATAGTTTATGACCTTCAAAAGAACCCAGTAATTTTATCATACTTGTTGATATAAATTTATAGGCTGCACATAGCTGTAATGCCCAAGAGTGTATCAGCTTTCAGGATGGCTGGATCCAAACCGATAGCTTAAGTCTAGTTTTTGGAAAATGAGTTCCTTGAATATTGTCACAGAATTATATATATTTTTCATATTATTCTTCATGTTGTACATTTTTTCATCTCAGTTGTAATCCCCGTGGACTTCCCACCACCGCTTCACCCGTGTGCCGTCACCATAGTCCCACATGTTCTTCCCATCCCCGCTTTGGTCTTGTTACAAAATTATATTTTTCAAAGCTAACAGTGGTTTCACATCCCAAATATGATGGGATGAGTTGGAAAAGTAGTTATTGATGTCTGTGCGTCTGACTTTTTAATTGACGTGGATGAGTATTTCAGTTGTTCAGTGCTGGGATGGATCAGCTGTGTAGACAACTTGCACCGAAACAAGAAAGACACAAGGATGAGACCTGCATCCTTGCAGTGAGCATGCAAGTGTAAATACTTTTGTTTGTAGACTGCGTTTACAGTAGTTATCACATATTTTTGAGATGGGGATCAACTAGGGACAGGGTGCTAAAAGTAGTAAACTTAATAGTCAATCTGTTTGAGAACTTTGATGCTGAGATCACCGAAACATTGTACCCATACATTTGAGCCAAGTTCCAGAGCCTGAGAAAAGAAATCCCACCTGCACCTCTACTTACAAGGGATCAGAGGAACATAAAACAGCAACGTTATGTAGTGGTCTTGCTGCCTCAGGACGGTGGAGCCTGAATTTAAGTTATAGGAGCATAGCTGCCTCAGGACTGGATGAGGCCTTTGAAGGCCAAGTGATTTGCTTCTCCGTACACTGGAGTATAGTAACTGGCCTATCTGTTGAGCTCCATAGAGTCTTCGTGCTTTGTTCAGTAGCAGCCACACTAGCAAATAAATCCCCAGACTGATAGATGATGGTAGCTGGTTTAAACTTGTGTTTGCAGCACAGATATATTCTTAACACCCCTTTCTCTAGTTTTACTGATGGTAAATGTATCTTCTCCTTTTCTTCAGGCCAGATAATGCAGTGCCAGGGGACGTGCTTGTGCTGACAAAACCCCTGGGGACACAAGTGGCCGTTGCCGTGCACCAGTGGCTGGATATTGTGAGTGAGCTGGCCTGATGGGGGGGCTGGGCGACCAGTACATTTTCAGGACTTGTTTGTGATTGGAGAGCGGGGCATTTATGGTACATGGCAGGTCAGGTGCTATTCCTGTCTGCCAGGGCCTGGGTGTGCTTCTGTACGGAGGCAGTGAGCTCTGTAATGGGGCCACATCTCTCCTGTAAAGGAAGCCTTTTTCATGTTTAAGACAAGAGATTAACATGTCATGAGTTTGTCCTCCTCAGAATGACCTCCCGTAGTTTTAGTAGTAGCCAGGTCCTTACAGAAGTCCTCGGACTAGTGCACACTCTTTTATTAAATCAGAATCTCATGTACTGAATGCCTAACAGGGTAGACCCGGCTTTGAACTCTTCAAAGAGGAGTTGGGAGGTAGAGAGAGTTGGACTTATTTTTCATGTCTTGTACATCACTAAAAATACACAGAAGAGAATGTGGAAAATGTGGTATTTGGGGTAGAAATAAGACCAGACTTATTGGCAACTTGATTGCTTGCTTTGTCTTTTTAAACCTAATTAGTAACCCAGGACATTTTGATAAAGTAACTGCCTTGGCAGGAAAGCAGCTATAGTATATGAAGGTACTTTTTCTGAGTGTCTTTGCCACTGAGCTATACTCATACTGCAGTTAAGATGTTTTCATTGCCATAACAACTCAAAAATTAATACAACTCTGGTATGTTTTTACATATCTTGGTGTATTTAATTTCTACAACTGTCATCTGAAACTACTACTTGAGAAATGGTTAGGAAAAAAAATAATTATATGTTATTCACCAACCAGGTGAATCTTAGCTTGACACAGCAAAACAGAGAAAATCTCTAAGACTAGCACATTCTTCAGTTACTTTCTTTTCTCATCTAGTGACAATGGGAAATTTCCTATCACATTTCTATAATCAGATGGGAAAGCTGTTGATTATGGGCTGTAATCAATCTACCAAAGTGCTTTCCAGTATGACTGGTGAGGGCCTGTGTGATTTAGCAAAGTTGTGGGAGCAGGTGAGGCAAAGAGACATAAGAAATGAGGTGTTAGGACCTCCACTTCTTCCCACCCCAACTTGACAACACCTTTGCCTTTTTTTTTTTTTTAATTTAATGCTTATAATTGCAAAAGCAAACTCCAAAGACTAAGTTAAAGCAGCATACAATTTTTTTAAAGGCTGGGGAATTGCAAGTATACCACTCAGAATAGTTGTTTCCTCTAGAAGAGAAATAGTGAGTAGTAGCATAAGAATCTTGTTATTGCATTGGTTGGTTGACTATTGCGTATTGTTTAAAATAAATGAATGAATGCATGAATGATGGCCACTAATGGACAATGAGGGCACCTTGTTCACAGACCGAGTGTCGTGACATTAGATTCTTCCAAAATCAGGTTGAGAAAGAAAAGGAAACACCATTTTCTCCTGGCTTTGATGATATCCTTTGTGGTCACCCAAGATCTCAATGCACACATGACCCAACTTGTAGTCATATTCATTTGTCCATCAAGAGGACTTGATCCAAATTTAGGTGTAGTTAGCAGATGTATAATCATGTGAAAAATGAAAACTCTGAGGAGATAGTGAGAGAGCCAGGGACGTGGTTCATGGTGGTTCACACCCTGCCTGGAGGAGCCGGTAAACTTGCCTTTTGGGGCCTGTGTGCTGCCGCTGCATGTCCCACGCAGTGGCCTGTGCCCGAGAACAGAAGAGATTCCAGGGTGACATGTCTCGTAGACATGTAGTAGTCGTGGGGGGAAAAAAGCTAAGAGACAAATAATTTTGTGTGCAGAAACAGATAAAACTCCCCAGAAGAGGACTAAGAAAAAAATGTGCTTTTTTTCCCCCATGTCAGAAGTAAAGATAAATTACATTCCCCCCCCCCCTTTCTTCCCCTCCCTCACCTATGTTTCTGTTTTATAGCCTGAAAAATGGAATAAAATTAAACTAGTGGTCACCCAAGAAGATGTAGAGCTGGCATACCAAGAGGCGATGATGAACATGGCCAGGCTCAACAGAACAGGTATCTGCAGGCAGGTGGGCAGGCAAGCGGACGGGTTCACCTCTTGCAAGGTTCAGCTTTCTAACCCCAGAGGACCGATTTCAAGTTTTTCAGGCCACACATGCTCTCGGTTGCATGCTGAGTTCTTCTTCAGCAACTCTATAAATGTGTTGAAAAAACAAATACTTTTAGTCGGGGAACAGGCTATGGGTCAGATTTGGCCAGTGACTGCAGACCCTCTTCTGTTGGTCTTGGTTTGGGGCCCTTGGACACTAGTGAATCCAACTCCATGGGTATTCTTGGCAGAAATGTTGTTAAGGCCACTTGTACTAGAAAAACCAGTGGCTCACCTACAGGGGCCTTTGAGGGTCCTTTCCCCGCTCTCCACCGAGTGGCTGAGTGCCACAGGACACTGTGGCTTACAGCGTCTTACTCCTTCCACTTGGGTTGTTGGGGCAGGGCCGGGCACAGGGCAGAAACATGACATATGGGTGAATAATGAGTTCAGTTCTGAATCAAATGGAGCGTTGAGTTTTATATTTTTCTCTGTTCCTTCCAACTTTGCATTCTGGCATTATGGTTGGTGGTGACTCCTTTTGTTGGTCAATAAAAACCGGAAACTTAGCACATTTTTGGAAGTATTGAAATCGTATATTTATTTATTACTGTTTTTCATTTTGGAGTGAGTGTGTGTCTATAACAGTGGTTACATTCCCAGCTCTTACTTTCTTTACCCTTTATTTCTAGTCTTAGTTTTTAAATATAAAACTAATAACAGCGATTACCATTTGGCAGGTACTATGTACTTTCTCATTTAATTCTTTTACTTTATAAGGTAGCTACTGCTATCTTTTTTTCATACAAAGTTTTAAGTAATTTGTTCAGGGTCACACAGCTAATTAAATCTTGGCTAGACACATGATTTGGAACCATTTCTTATAATAATTAAAGTGTTCTGTTCCTTTTTGACAGTTTAGTAAGAAATCGAACATTTCACTGTCTTTGTGCATAGTAATTGAACAACACTTTTGTACTATACTAAGTTTTAAAAGCAGTTTGAAATAAAACAAATTTCAAGAACCAGAATTCATCTTCTGGGTAGCAGGGAGGACTGTGCAGGGAGTTCATTGGATATAGTTGAAGCATCATACACTCACTGTTTTTATCGGCTTTGATGCATATAGAAAGTATCAGGCATCCATTGTAAAGAAGAAAGCTCTTCTCTTGGTCTTTTGACACCAACCTGAAAGGCCACAGGAACTGTTCACAGAATAGCGTTTGTTTGGGTTGCTCTGTGCAGATGAGACCTGGAAGGTGTAAAGAGGAGTCAGAGCCTTAGGAAACTGGAACCCTGTTGTCTGTAGGATGTGTTGTGGGTGTGACTGCTCATGTAACTCATGTAAGACAGCCGTGGAAAATGCTTCTGGTGTGCAAGTCATGACTTTATTAAATGTCACCAGAAATCCATCTTGGTCACCCCACTGCACTTGGTATAGATGTGTGAAAGCTGTGTCTAGCTACTTGGCCACCACAAAAGGCTAAAAGTGTTGATATTCTCTGCCTCTGTTGTTAAGAAAGTACTTAAATGAAAGAGACCTAAGGTCTTAAAAAAAAGAAAGAAAGAAAGAAACTATACTGAAAAATGCATTGAGAATAGGGCATATTTCATTTCCTGAAAAAGATAATTTAAAAAAACTCTAAAATTAGCCTGTCATTTACTCCCCTAACAGCCATCCCCCAATGAAATACTTCGGAATGACTCTAACACTTAATTCCCCTCTACAGATTTTTTTAGTTTAACTACAAATATATTGATTGAAGCTGCTGATAAGTGGTTTGAATTGAAATGAGAAATCCACTTTCAGAATTTTCACTCTGGGTTTTATTGATTTTTGTTTTGTTTTGTTTTTGGAATGAATATTTTTATTATTCCTGTTTGTCATTTCCCTGGAGTTCAAGGTATATTTAAAGATTTTGTGTTGAGATTTTACTCAGCTATAGCAGATACAAAATGTTTGTGTCCTTTTTCAGCTGCAGGACTCATGCACACATTCAATGCCCACGCTGCCACTGACATCACAGGCTTTGGGATTTTGGGTCATGCGCAGAACCTGGCCAAGCAGCAGAGGAACGAGGTGTCCTTTGTCATTCACAACCTTCCTGTGCTGGCCAAGATGGCTGCTGTGAGCAAGGCCTGCGGAAATATGTTTGGCCTCATGCATGGGACCTGCCCAGAGACCTCAGGTACAGGATCCTGGACCCAACTCTGAGGATTAACTCAGTAGGACTAACAATAGGAAGGAGCCAAGTATGTGAGCATGTGTCTAGTAACTCATAAATGTTCATGGAATTTAGGACCATGAGTGGGAGAAATGGATGAGAACATAGGGAGGAGGATTATTAGTTTTCTTTGGAAACTTATTATTTGAAGTAATTGTAATACCCTTATATTACATTGAACAGGCTGTATTTTTTCCTCAACAATTTATAAAATTTCTGTTGAGAGTTAAATAGAACAAATAGTATATCTCCAAAAGTGCCACTTGTCTTTTTGACTCATTTTTCTTACCTTAACTCTTGTACTTCATCCTTTAAAACTCTCCTATACCCTCCCTCCTTCTTTTTGCATTTCTCTTGTCCATTTTCTTTTCACTGTAAGTCAGTGGTTTCCCGAACCTGACAAAAGAGTGGAATCACAATGAAATTTTAAAAAATACCCCTGCCTAGACTGATAAATCTCCCTCACCCCCTTAAATAAAACCCTGGTTATGTTAGACTGGAGTACGCCTGGTCGTAAGTAATTGTGACAGCTTCCAGAACATCAAAGCCTGTTCACAAAATGTCTACATAGAAGGACTCTGAGAAAAACAAAATTCTTAAGCCGGAAGAGCAGGTGAGCTATTGGCTCAATTAACACACTGCCCGCCACCTCAGGGCCATCGCTGCCCCCTGGTGGGCCTGGAGTAACTGTTGAATGAATTAATATTACCAACAAATTCATTGTATTTCCCTCTTCAAAAATAGGAAGATTCTGCTTTTTTGTAGAAGAATGATATAATTAGTTCCTGATTGTTACTTATGTGTACAGATACATAAACATACCAGTCCTATCTACTCAAATAGCAGTGAAGTTTTATTTTAATTATTTCATATTTTTCTGTTTGGAAGGTAATAACAGTCCAAAGCTAGAGCCTTGCTTACCTTAGGGTATACATTCTTTCCTGATCTTAATTTTTAAATCAATAAAATACAGAAAGTCAGTGTAGCATGGGAAAAGTAGTTACCACATCAGTTACTGAGGTAAGGTCATTTACAGAGGAATCGGTTAATTAAAGTTCAACAGGTGGGCTACCTGAGGGCAGGCAGGACAGGCGCCTCAGTGGGACAGGAGGGGTGCTGGTGTAGAGGCTGAAACAAGGTGGTGCTGACCGCGGTCTCGGTAGAGGTCTAGGCAGAAAAAGTCTCACATGGCATCCTAATTAATGATAATTGTTCTGTGTTTTTTCTTTGCCAGGAGGCCTTTTAATATGTTTACCACGTGAGCAAGCAGCTCGGTTCTGTGCAGAGATAAAGTCCCCCAAATACGGTGAAGGTCACCAAGCGTGGATTATTGGGATCGTAGAGAAGGGCAACCGCACAGCCAGAATCATAGACAAACCTCGGATCATCGAAGTCGCTCCACAGGTGGCAACTCAGAATGTGAACCCCACGCCCGGTGCCACCTCCTAATCTAAACCGAAATAGCTGTTTGGTCTTGTTTTTAAATAGATTTATTTCCTTTATCATCACTTCAATTAAAGACTATAAACAACACAAATCTCATTGTGTCTACACATCTGGTGACCTTAGGTCGATTTGTGAGTGGATGCAATTAATAAAATAAAATCCATTGCTTTTTTTTTTTTTTTCCTGTTACATTAACTGAAGATGCACCTAATCTTGAGGCAGCTTCTGAGTTGAGAATTATATTGTTATCCAATACTGTTGATTCATTTTGAATCTTTAGACACTTATCTCTCGCCGCATAGGCTCTTTTCAAAGGTGCTTTCACACAGCACAGACATTACCAATAGTAGTGTCAATAGCAGTTTGTGTCTTTTCATTTTGTGTATATTTATCATGATCAGTCTGATCTTTTCTAAGTGTCTTGAATGAGATTCTGGAAGGCAGAGTTGGTAAGTGACACAATGGTACCCCAGTAATAAAAAGGTTGCATGATTCCTTTGAGTCTTCGATTTGTAAAGCCCGGTCTTCTCATTCAAGAGCTTCTCTTTGACCCAGGTCATTTCCCAACAGTGCATTTAGTCAAATAAGGCAAGTGCTTAATTCTGCATGGAAAGCACTTTGAAGACTTTTTTTTTGTAGCCTTCCAAATACTTACAGTAATCATTAACTTTCCTTTATTGGTAGCAAAAAAGGATACTTTTTGCAATGTAATTAGATGTTCTATAGTGCAACAGGAATTGCCTTCCAAAAGGGGGTTCATGTATAATACTCATTACAAGTCAATATATAATTAACTACACAAATAGTTTTTAAGTATAATCAATAATAAAGACTGTTCTGTGGATGGTAGTGTTTAATACCTTTTACATTTTGTATAGTGATTTCAGGCCTTTTGTTTTCTTAAAATCAACAGCTACTTAGCCTAATTCTTAGCATTACTTTGTTCTTTGTGCCAGTACATTTTTGTGCACGCTTTTTGTGATTTGTTAAAAATCTGCATTGCCAACATGGCAGCTTGAACTTAAAACTTGTTATTCAAATAAATATTTAAATTTTTTAATTGCTCTTGTATAATCAGATGCCCCCTTTTAGTATTATTTTAGAAGCATTGGGAGGGTTTTGGCTAAAGTACAGTTTATTGGGGAAAACTAGATTTTAGTTTTATAAAACTTTTAAGTCTTTCATGGGACCTATATTTTCTTGAATTAAATTTTGTAGCTCTAGAACAAATAGGCAATCTAAAAAGGTGTTTATCTGTGTTACTTAAGTACAGAGGCTTCCTTATATTAACCTGCTAAGGGATAAGGAGCGATTTCTTCATTAAGCACAAGCGCACTGACTGCTTACGAGTCCACATAAAAGAGAGCCTGTCACCGAGTTCCTGCGTGCTTCCTGCTCACAGGCGCCAGAGCTTGTGAACCCATCATCTTGCCAAAGGAAACTACCATTCGGAACCTGAAACCGTAGATGAGGCTTTCACCCGACTCGCCCTCCTTCAGGAACCAAAAGGCAGCCTTACCCATGTGGAACTGGAACTCAAGCCATAAGCCCGGGGGCGGTACCCGAGAGGCTGCTACTGAACTGAGATGGACATTTTATAGGAATTTATACAGATGTTGGTCCTCAAAAGCTACAAACCAGTGGTCTGCAAAATAAAATGTGTTGGAAACCTCTGTGTAAGATAATATACTGTCGAGCTTTTTTCGTTTTAAATACACTAGGGCTGACTAAATTGAAACTGCTTTCAATGTAGATCATGTCTTGAATGCATGTTTTTCTTGGTTACAGGCCTACTGAGAGGAAGTGAGCTATATGGATTATACGTGTGAAGAAACCATCTTCATGAAGACATGTTTATAAAGAGAAAATGGGTACTTAACAAGTTCATGTAATTCATTTTATCCAAGGAGGAAGAACTGGTCTTTACAGCCTTGTTTTCCAGAGGGTGGGTCATTGCCACCTGCGTTAGAATCGCAAAGGCAAACCCCACCTCAGGAGGACAATTCAGGGTGCAGACTGGGGGATCTCTTAAGTTAAAGCCGCTGGCTTTAAAGAGATGTTGCATTGTTTTGGGAGAGGCCAAGGAGGGAAGGGAAATGAACTTAATACAGTTTTTCCAGGAATTGTTTCTGCAAATCTTGACCCTTCAGTTACCTGACAAGTAGGCTCAGCAGTACACAAAAAAGGTCCTAGAGAATCAGGTGATAACTAAGTTTTGCAATTTTTGTTTAAGTCTACATCGAATATGTTTGGTATGGGTCATTAATATGTGACTTCCTCATAGTCCTTTTAAAACTTCACATTGATGTGTTCTCAGTACTAGTGATTTATAATAATAATTTGTTAGCACAAATCTAGGTGACAGTCACGAATGCTTAGCCTTTAGAGGTAGAACCCTTATGGGGTGAATAACTTCAGGTCACAGGAGTTTGCAAAGAGCTTGTTAACTTGGATATCTACTGTAATTCAGTCCTGGAGAAGGTACTAAAATAATGAAATACTGTATCAACAAGATACATGTATTGGCTCAGTATTTTAAAGTAACCTATTGTGTCCAAGTCTTGCATGCCTTATGATGAATAAACTAGAGAATTAAATTGTTTTGATTATAGATGTATGGGCCAGCACTTTTCAGTCTGAACCTTGCCTTTGAAATAGTTACACCTGAATCCTGAGTTTTATAGTGTTCTGTGAAGTGACCAGATAGCTATATTACACTAGAAGTAGTAAAGCAAGCATAGATACTGGTACTTAGATGCTTAACTGCTGTGTGTATGTGTGTGTATACATACATACATTGAGCTGATTTTGTACCTTTTTCCTCTGGATTAGGTGGTAGTTGTGGAGACAACATTGTTTGTACCTTTTCTCCAAATACAAACCATGCAATATAGTAAACATGCCAAGGTCCACAGGAAAAGCCAAAAATATTCTTAAGTCCTGTTCTTAATATGGAATGTGGTAACATCGTTGCTTTTGTTTTAGTGTGTTGGATGATCATAGAAATGTATGGATTGGACATACCCAAGTAAAATAGTTGGTCAGAGAAGTGCTCACATGTCTCTAGATCTGTTCAAGCACTGGCTGGAATCTGAACTTCCTGTTACTATCAGTTGCTTCAGGGTAATTACCAATGGGCTGTAGGTGCAGGGTTTCCTATTCTTTCACAGTGTTCTTAATGTGGTAACCAACTCTGAATACACAATTGATGTTTTTGATGGTACTTTCTGGTCCTGTTGCTTTGTAGGAGTTTCATGTGTGGGAGAATGCATAATGAAGGTCATCAGATCTTCATGGGAGGAAGTAGAAACTGCTAGTGATCAGATTGCAGAAAAGCCCATGTGTTTTTTACTCTGTTTCAAGAAAATAAGCGTTTACACAGGTTTATGGAGACTTAATGGTAATTAGCAATTACTAAGTCCCATATTTTGCTTATTTCTTAGAGTTGTATAAAATTGGAGTCTGGATGCAGCCCTGCCTTGGTACATTCTGAAAATTTATAAAGTTATAGCAGTTAAAAAATCATAACATCAGCCATCAGTCCAATAGGTCTAGTGAATCCAAGGTTGGGGGTGGGCATGGGAGAAGAACATGGGCATGTGTAAAGTACAGGTGACATTTATTTTTCCCAACTTCTTTTGAAAAATTAGAAACAAGAATAGGAAAAACAAGGGAATGAATACTCCAGAAACGTCAGCTTGGGCCTTTCGTGCCACCCACGGCGGGCATGCGCACACATGGGAGCGCTCATGTTTGCTTGCCAGAGTCACTGTATATACAGTGTCACTGACAGGTGGCAGGAGCAGGACTTCCACGCTGCTTTTCCTAGTGATCAGACTGCCATATTTTCATGTCGGTTTTACAGTGCCCAGGGAAGTCTACAGGAAAATTTCAGCATATTGAATAAGTAAAATTGAGTACCAAAGTTGGAAGCTACTACACGCACATACATGTTTGTGCAAATTGGTTCACTTAATACATTCTGAACATTTCTTACACTGAACGATAGACTCCCAGTGTTTAACCCTTGTTAAATACAGACAAATACAGACATCCCCAATGGACTCACCTTAAGTTTTGTTGCACACTAATCCTTGAAATGTTAAAACTAACTGCTGTACTTGCATCCCCTACCTAATTAGAATTGAGGCTTTTTTGTAGTTATTTACATCAGCCCTCTTGCAAGTCCTCTAGAGTTGATTTCTGTTTGAGGCTGGGAGCTCTCATGAGCACAGCTGTTTGTTGAATGCTGTTGGCTGCTGAGAAGGAAATCTGAATGATGGGTAACAAACATATTCCTAAAAACTACTGACTTGGGTGAGTGGGTGAGGGTAGATGCCTGCATCCTGTCTCTATTGCTGCTATAGCAGGTGACCTCAAACCCAGAGGCCCAAAACCACACAGATGTATTACACTAGTCTGAGGGCCAAGAATCTCACCCTGGGCCCCTGGATTAAAAACTGAGGTTGGCAGGGCTGTTTCCTCTTCAGGGGAGAATTCACTTCTTTTGCATTTGCTTCTCACAGTCTAGAATCCACCTGAATTCCTTAGCTGTGTCCTTCTCCTGTCTTCAAAGCCAGCAGCAGCACAGTACAACTCACCTTTCTTCTATCACCTCGTCTTTCTGACCACAGCCTGCATTAAGGATTTGAGATTAGATTGGGCCCATCCTGATAATCCCCCATCTCAAGGGGGATTCTGCATCACAAAGTTCCCTTTGCCATATTGATCAATAGCCATAGATTACAGGGATTAGGATAGGGGCTATATAGGAAGCCATTTTTCTGCCTCCCTCACAAAGCTCTATGCCTACAGGGAGTTCACCAAGAGAGAGGTTGCCAGGAGGCAAAGCTGTTGGCTTATGATGGTTTTTTCTTTTTTAAGATTTATTTATGTATACAATAACTGGGGTATAAGTCAGAGGTATAGGGGGTAAGAGGATTCATCAGAGAAAGTGGGGAGTAGAACAAGCAGATCAGCTGAAATACATTACTGAGGGGAATGGGCTAGGTAGGAGAGGTCTTGCTGCGTCATGTGGGTCACCTTCTTGGCTGAGGATTGAGCTAGTGCTGCAGGCTGCTGATAGCTTCATAGTGCTGAGACTTAACCCCTTGTACTACCAGGGAAGCCCCAACTAATTTACCATTTTTAGTTCTCCCATCATTGCATCCATGATCTTTACCATAGTTGCATATTATTTTCAACCACAAAACATGGGAACATTCAAGTATAAGTATACATTTATAATCATGTGATTAATAGGGAGTATACATGAAGCAACGTGAACAGACAACATTTTTCAGTGAGACTTTGGTGTTCCTTTCTTTTCATTCTTGGGCAATCCAGCATTGCAGCAGACACTGCTTCTGCAGCTCTCTGCCACCAGTCTCTCCCACCCCCCTGGCCACACCTGCTCTCTGCTGATACTCTCTGGCAGGTTGTTAGTTCCTTGCTAGGTTTGAGTCTTTCTAAGGTGGTTGTGAACCCTTTGCTGATATGAATCATTGCTTGTTCCCGTTTGTGTTTTTATCGGCACCTTGTAGACAGCCCTGCACAAATTAGGTCATCAATAGCCTGTTGGTTGATTTATCTTCATGTCATGCTAGAGAATTTACCCTAGTCCCCTTGTCATTTCTCAATCCAAACACTTCTATAAGTGATAATTTTATCCTTTCATCTTTCCCTAGATTTATGTATATATTAATTTTTAGTTCATGCTGAAAGATTAAACATCTCATTGCACCATACACGTCTCAATTCTTCAGACTTGTTTTAATTATGGCTGACATAAGAAATGGAGTTGGAGAAAATAAGCTGTATCTCTGTCTACAAATGATTTATGGGAAGTTTGTCGTATAACATACAGTTTAATTATATTTGTGTCCTTAGAAATATCTTTATCTTGTTTTTCTTAAATTATTCTTATGAAAAGACCATGATCTTTATGAGCCAGATTCTGACACTGACACAGATCTAATAGAAGTGCGTGAAAAGTGTGTCTGTGAGAGGAATGGAGGGTGGAAGACAGACGTAGAGATTTTCCTGTTTTTTATTTTTTTTTCCTGCCTACCCTACTTTCACATGGATCAGTATTTCTGTCAGGATTGGATCTGGGGTAGTGACAATCACCTGGGGGAGATTTCTCGTTTAGGTTTAGGGTTTACCAGATCATCCAACATGAACACATGTAACAGCTCTGAGGAGATACTATATTGTTTTCATTGTAATTATTGCTTTAATTTCCCCACAGGATCTTAAATGAAAACTTTTAAGCACAGAAAACCTCTAATTTAAAAGATGAAAATAACAATTGGAAGCACGTAAGAATTTCCTTTATCTCTTATTACAATCATAAGTTTAAACACCTTTGCAAAAATACCTTAAGATACAGAGGGCATAGATTTTTACATACTGTAAAAATGAGGGTTTTTTTTTTTTAAAGATTTATTTATTTGTACATACAGAACTGGGGTACAGGCCAGAGGCTCAGGGGCGGTGAGAGGCTTCACCAGAGACAGAGTGGGGAGCAGAACAGGCAGATCAAAGAAGTACACTGCTGAGGGGAGCAGCGGGCGGGTCAGGAGAGGTCTGCCACACCATGTGGTCACCTCCAGGGCAGGTGGGAATCGAACTCATGAGGAAGTGGCTTTGGCTTCTTAGTGCAGTGCTTTAACCCGCTGCGCCACCAGGGAGGGCCAAATGAGGGTATTTTAAGGAAATATTAAAAATACAGGGTTACTAGCTTGATGTCACTCCCATTTCTCATTAGTCATTTTATTTCTTAAAGATTTTATTTATTTATGCATACAAGAACTGGGTTACAGCTAAGTGGGTTGAGAGGATTCACCAAAGAGAGAATGGGGAGCAGAACAGGTAGATCCACCAAAATACACTGCTGAGGGGAGCAGCAGGCAGGTCAGAAGAGGTCTGCTGTATCTTGTGGGTCACATCCTTGGCCAGGATTGAACTCATGCTGCAGTGGCTGCAGCCAGCTTCACAGTGCTGCACCTTAACCCGTTGCATCCACAGAAAGGGCCCTGATAAATCATTTTAAATTATGGGAACTTCCAAGTTCTGTGAGGGTTAAGTTGCTACTTTTTAAAATAATTCGTGTAGGGGTGAGCTGGTCTCACTTTCTGTTGTTTTCCCTCTTGTCAGCAGTGCTCACTTTTTACCAGATGAGGGCAGTAGAGAGACACCTACGCGCTTCCATTCCCAGGGGGAACTTCTCAGAAGCAGGAAGATACAGATTCTCTTTTCTGTTTGTGCCAAAACCTACGTCGTCATCTTAAACTCTGAGAAGCATGAACACTTCTAAAAACCCTTGAGGTTCATTCAACAAGTTCAAGGCCTGGTTCCTGACATGGGGTGGTCAGTTTGAGGTGAGACAAAGAAGAGCAAAGGAGGAAGATCCTAAAAGAATCTGACCCTAAAAGAATCTGGAGCTTTGGTGAGAAGGAATCATGGAAAAAAAACAAAAACCCCAAAATACCCAAAGGTGAAGGTCAAAGGTCAGGATTTGCTCTGGATACTGACTTTTTTTTTTTAAAGATTTATTCATTTATGCTTACAGTACTTTGGCACAGGCCAGAGGAGTGGTGAGTGAGAGGCTTCACCGGAGACAGAGTGGGGAGCAGGACAGACTGACGAAACACACTGCTGAGGGGAGCAGCGGGCGGGTCAGGAGAGGTCTGCCATGCCATGTGCATCACCTCTGGGACGGGGATCTAACTCATGCTTAAGTGGCTTTCGCTTCTTAGTGCTGTGTTCTAACCTGTTGCGCCACCAGGGAAAGCCTGGACACTGACTTTTTCTTCTCAGCTGGAGAAAATAGGCAGAAACTCATCATTCTGAATTTTGACCTGCTGTCTCCTTAACTATAGCAGTGCCACCAAATTACTGGAAGACATCATTGAAGATGATGTCTATGAGCCATATTCTGGAAGTAATTCACTAAGCTAAAGAGATATGGGGGGCGGGGAGGGAATGACAGAAAAAAGGAACAGTGACATACTGGGGGAGGGGGGTGTTGAACTTAGAGAATATGCAGTTCTTACCCTACAGGGAATGGGCTCTTGGGTGTTCATTGCAGCATCACTATGACGATAACGAGGTATGATACCAACTGGGAGTCCATTGAGGAGTGGGTGGATGGACAAGGGGAGCAGCGGTGGAGGCAGGAGAGGCCTGCTGAGCCATGTGGGGAGATGTCCCTGGCCTGGGACCGGACTGTGCTACAGACAGCTTCAAAGTGCTGAGACTTACCCCTCTGCGCCACCGGGGAGGCCTGAGTATTTATTCCTTTAGCAGCTCAGAGGAAGTAACGATCAAATGGAGTAAAATACGCATTCAGAAGTGTGGGTGACCTTCTGACCCAATCTCTCCCGGTTACTGAGTCCCTCAAACCCGGGTTTTGGCGCATAGGGTGGAGAGGAACTCCGTGGGCCGAGGAGC